CTGAGGACATGAAGACAAGTGGAGCCCCTGTGGCTCCCTGGACAGTCACCATCGACTATTTGGCAAGTCATGAGCCATAGTGAGAGACCTCATCTCAGAAAACGAGGGAAAGGTTCCCTAGGCATGACAAGAGAAGTTGCCCTCTTCTCTTCACAAGCAGGCACACACACAAGCATGTGCACTGCACACATAGATGCACCACACATATGAACATGCATACACATACATGTACACACACATACACTGCAGTTAATCAGTAGTCAACTAAAATGCTAGTATGACCATGTCAGAATTTGCATGTCTTTGTGGAAAGCTACCCTATAACAAGTTCCTGTGCTATTTACAGATCAGGAATTGCCTAGGGTAGGGGAGGAGCTCATAAATCTAACCGCCTATGCAGGACACTGGTCCCTGTGCTCCGTGGCTACAAGCAGCTGCTGCACTCAGTGGAACAGACATTCAATCTCTTCTCTTTTGTACAATTTAACCTGTATCCAGCCCCTCTTCCCGTATACTACCTATCTGCTACCATAGGAACTTCAGCAAAGGAAATTTGGCCATGAAGCTACTTGAAGTTTATCTACAAGCTTGGATGTAGAGGAAGGTGCCAAGCCAGGGTATGGTTTGTGTACTCATTTAAAGTGGCACAGACCCTTTTCAGCTGCTTATGATATTATATCTCTTTCCCTTAAGTGGCATCCTGGTGACTGGAAAAGGCTCAGTGAGTTTCTGAAAGGTGCTTAACAAAGAATGAGAGGTCCATTGCCCTGTGAGATTCCAAATGACTAAACAGTCCTTGCTTCAAGCTCCCCAACTAAACACTGTGCATTAACGCTTGGCAATCAAAGGGATGAGCCCAAAGACAGCATCTTATGGTCCTTTCTGGGTGACTGGTACTTTGCTCCTCTTCCTATCCCATAGCATGATCTCCCCAAAGAATTTGCAGGCAGCTTCATCCTGCCAAGAGTACTCAGAGTGAACACTGTGCTTGCCTCCCTGTCCTGAGACGCAGGGTCCCGTGAGAAAGCACGTTCGCTTGCTTGGCTGTGGGAAATCCCACCGAGGAGCACTCTTCCCAAATCTCTGCAGATGGAATAACTGGAAGCCGCACTCGTGAGCCTCCTTGTTTATATTCTGCTCTGGACAAATATTGGAAACCCAAAACAAGTCAGAAGCGAAGCACGTGGGCCCTGAATTATATCAGCACAGCCATGCAGTACAGAAAAGTCGCTGGATTTATCTTCATAGCCGAGAAATCTCGAGGCCTGGACAGTCTATTCTAGCTGTCCATTTATGATCTTTAAAAACATTTTTTAAAATTGACTGGTCCTTAAATATATCCTACCTCATCTTGTTCGAGCCAAGTTTTACAGATGCCATCTTAAAAATCAATTCAAAGAGCAGCTATAAACTCAAAAGCCTCCCCCTCCAAGAGTATATGGCAGAATGCAATTTTGTTTAATTTTAATTGACAGAGATGTCAGCCTAAGAGAATATTTTAGAATATTAGTGGGAACAGTAAACTTATGCCTTGACATTTTTATGGTATAATGGTATAATTCCCTGGGAGAAAAAAAAATCTTCACAGTCAGGATTTACACTAAAGCGATGCACGTGTTCCTTTTTTTTCCCCCTTCACTCAGTATGGGAATGAGAAATGGATTACTAATTACACAATTACTTTATTATGGGAAGCTGTAACTAAAATCTTTTCTGGACTTTTCAGCAAAAATGAGCTTCTTCTGAAACAATTAATTCTAGTAGATGGACTGGCATAGAAAAAAATTGATTCCAGCAGAAAGAAAAACTAGCCCCGCTCTTCCCCTTTGACTGGGGGACCCAGGCTCAGGAGCCACAGAAACTACCTATGCAGATGTTCAGGACTGACAGCCCATTGGCACTTACCTGTGTTGCAGCAAGGCGTGTGCAAAGACAGGAGGTTAATTTCTTATCTTTTGAGAGAAGCACGAGCAAGAAAATCTAGGCAGCATGCTCAAGAGTGTGAGAAAGCAGGAGTCTTTCGGGCATTCCAACCTTCATGTCAGGGCAACTGCTTCTGTTGTGAGCTGTTATCGTCCTTGATACATACATCAGTTTTAGAACTCACCCCATCCTGTAGGCTGTGTGATCTATGCCTCTCACCCCTGTGTCCACTAAGCTGTCTGAAGTTGTGTTTGTGATGCCTTGCACAAGTCTTAGCACATAATAGATGCTCGGTCAAAGTGTTCTAATGTGATGTAGCAACAATTCAGTGTAAATCTAGGGATAACATTTCTGTAACTTTGGAATAAAACAAGGAATACTAAAACTTATTGGGGTTTGCTTGTTTTAAGCTGCCTATAGCCAGAGATTACTTTTGGCCCTCAAGTGTGTCATGCCGGAGGATGAGTTATTCAATTCCATGTGTTTTTTAAGGCTAAACATGTGATTCAATGAAAAAGAATCAAGGGAACTGGCAGAATTATTGCGGGACACCTTTAGGACACCACACCAGAGCAACGCTGAAGTTAACTTCCAAATTTAGCAGTTAACATTAGTCACACAACTTGAAATCAAATGTAATATATTCTATAGATTCTAATCAACTTTGTGACCCTCCTCTATTGTTAAAGAGCGTGGTTGACAAGGGGATAATGGGGTGGTATGTGTGGGGAGGAACATAGATCCTCAACATCATATACACTGTACAGTAATAAAACACATGTCTAAAGCTCAGCACTGCAATTGGCTCATAATAAACTCATAAGAAAGGGGCATTAACATGGCCAACAACCAATGCCAAGTGCTAGCACCATTATAAACTGCTAGGTAAGAAACAAAGGGGAAAAGATCAGTCACAAAACCAAAGGCAGTTGGTGAGCACTGCGCGTGGCTATGGGTGAATACAACTGTGAGAGGGATATTTAGAGTAATGGGACATTTCGTGTGGAAACACCACAAGCCACCGAAGGAGTTGGGGATGCACATGGCCTGCTTGGAGAACGGAAAGGACTCTGGGAGTCTCTGTACTTCAAATTGGCCTGTGTGCAATGGATGGTCTACTTTACAAGGTATGTTGAACACCCCTCATGACTGACTGTACCACTGTCCTTTAAGACAAAGTCAAGTCAAAAAGTTAATGGCTTTTTTGTTTCCTATTTAAAAGTTCCCATCACTGAAGACTTAGCCCTTTCCCACCAGGAAAAATACTGACATGCAATGTAATATCTAAGAGTTCTGAAACCAATATCCAATGTGACTACCATGTATTTGAAGCAATAGTAGAGTGCCCATTGGATCTCTCTTTCTATTTTGCAAGCAGATCAAAATTCTATCAGTGTCTAACAGTGTTCTGAACTGCAATGGTTTTGTGAGGATTAACTGGTGCTTGCCTCTAAAGAGATCTGCAGTCCTAGATGTTGTAAACCTGCTACAAAGGCCATTTTTCTCCCCAAGATTCATGGCCCACATTCACAGATAAAAGGATCCGAGCATCCAGCCATCGAAAAACCAGTTTGTCTATATTTCATCCCAAATCTCAAAGATGGTGTCTGTCATGAAACCCTGTGGCTCTCTGTGTGTGTTTGCTTGAGTGTGTATATTTAGAATATCCATTTTCATCCCAAATAATTCCTCAGCTGTTGGCATTGTAAAACCCAGTACCACCCCTTGATTTGAACTCCTCGGAAAGTATTATGGGATAGACCTCACCTCCTCAGTGAGTACAGAACAGCAGACTGACTCCGCCCAAGCAGGACATCCTAGGACCTGCTGACTAGCATCTCTAGTATATCTCTGCCTGAACAATTCTCTGTATTGAATGGAAAGGAAAACTCTTGCCCCGCACTGTTCTCAGATGGTGTCAGTTGTAGTCAGCACATCTTCTTGCTTTCCACCACGGTCTTTAGCTCTACACAGCCTGGCTTGCTTGTGGGCTCAAAAGTGTGATACAAATGCATAGATGTATGGCTGTTGGTTGGTTAACAGCAGAACTCTTCAAGGTAAGAAGGATGACGGTGAAGGCTGACAAAATGATAAAAGAAGGAAGTACATTTCTGATGTGGGATTCTCCTCTGTATGCTGTGCTACTATTGGTTAATAAAGAATCTGCTGTGTTGGGTCTATTGCAGCGCAAAATAGGGCAAGGTGGGAATTCCAAGCAGATAGAGGAGGAGAGAGAAGGCTGAGTCGGAGACTACATGCAACACATTTCCTCTGATGTTACACTCCTGCCTAAGTGCTGTAGCTGATTCAAGGCAACTGGGGTGTGTTTTAGATCAACCATATATTTTCTCATTGTTGATTCCCAATAGTCAATATCTACTCATTCCTATCAAGGAATTCTTATCCGATTTGAGATGAAGGATTGAGGAAAAAAAATCATAGAAAATCTCTATGGTAGTCTATCACTGTTACTGTATTCAAACACCTGAAACAGATTACTATATAAAGAAAAGAGGTAGCCGGGTGGTGGTGGCACATGCCTTTAATCCCAGCAATTAGGCAGGCGCAGAGGCAGGAGGATCTCTGTGAGTTTGAGGCCAGCCTAATTTACAAAGTGAGCTCGAGGACAGCCAGGGCTACATCCAGAAAAACCCTGTCTTGAAAAACTGAATATGTAAAAATAAATAAATAAGAGAAGTTTATTTACTATGTAGTCCTGAAGACACTAGGGCATAGAGCCAGCATCATCTAGACTCTGGTGAGGACCTGTGATAAATGACATTGCAATGGCAGGAGTCCTGAAAAGAGCGTGACAAGGGAGGTCAGGGAGCCAATGCAAGAGAGCCAAGTCTTGCTTTCTTAATAATACTCCTAAGAGACAAAGTAGAGCCCCATGGAACTACCTTCATTACATCCAATATGTCCATTCTTTGGATTCCTTTTCAATGTACTGGATCTCTCTAAAGCCTCATTGCCTCTCCACCTTGCCATTCTAGGGACCAAGCATTCCATGCCAAAGCCTATGGAGACATACTGACTCCGTAATGACTTTCTGATAAAACCTTCCTGAAAAAAAAAAAAAAAAAAGAAGAGTTTATCCACAAGCCAGTAAGAGGTAGGGTAACGTTGGAGACAGGAACCAGACTAGGTATGTCAGGAGACAATATGCTTGTCAACATGGGAAACAGTCAAATGGCCAGGTACAAAAAAAATAAAAAATAAAAAATAAAAAATAAAAAAAAATCAAAAAACACACCTTTACACAACATGGTTCAATATGAAATTAAAAACCGGGATGCACTTCAAAGTCCTTGTTTGATTTTGAGAACCTCAGCATGCTGTCTCTACGTTTGCTTTCTGACTCCCTGTCTATGGACAGTAGATAGCCAGCTGCTCCTCTTGTCAGGAGACTGGTAAGCCTGAGAGTGAATCAAGGACCGCGCACGAAGAGGAGACCCAGGGCAGCGCAGCCAATGCTCGGGGAGCTGGGAGCCTGCAGATTTTAGGTCAGCTAAATCAGGACACAAAGCTCCAGCTGCTAAGCCACAAAGGCCCACAGAGAGATTCCATGGCTCAATTGCTAACCAGCCTCCAATCCGCAGAAGAGAGGCTTCCATTGGGGAGACTTCTCCGGTTGCTTCCTTTTCGCAGGGGCAGAAGACACAAGGTTTCACTCCGCACTGTGACTCAGGGCTGGTGATACATGAAGGATCTGTGAAATCAGTCTCCATTATTTCAAAGGATGCTGCGTAGTAAACATAATGCACAGTAAAAACACTGTAATAAAATGACTCCTTAATTGCCTGTTATTATCAAATACAAGCAGAAAAACGCTTCTTCCTTACCCTTGCATCATCTGCGAACTGGCACATAAACTCTGTGGATCACAGGGATGCTTCCTGTGGCTGGAAATTGAATTCGGTGGTGTCGCACGGACAAACACTCTGAATGTCAGAAATCACAGGCCTTAAGGTCATTAGTAATATCTTCCCACTCTTGCCTCCCAGACTCATTTGGGTTCTGCATTTTTATCATCTCTGTATCACCTTTATTAAAAAAATAAAATAAAACATAAGCCTCTCTGGAAACATTTGAAAACGAATGGGATAGTAGCACCGTGTTCTGTTTTAATTTAAAGAGTTGGATTGATCATTATGCCAATGGCGGGATGCCCACATTCTGGCCCACCCCCCAGCTTGCCCCTCTGCCCCTTGCTAATAGCAGTCAGCCTTGTTTGGCTGGAGCTTGGCAAACCTCTCCAACGTTTTCGCCGCTCTATATTTCAGCCATGACTTTTGTCATATTTCGAAGAGTCACTTGCACCTGGCCAGCCACCGTGCATGCCAAGTTCTGGCCCATTGAGATTTTAAATGGGTTTGAATCGATTGGCCTATGAAATTAAGAATGCATAAAAAAGACAGAAGCTTTGGGGGGGGGGGAGTCATGTAGCATTTTTCTCATACAGCTGAAAACAAGATAAAGGGTGCCCCGAAAGGTAGCATTTACCTTCCAATAGCTTTAAGAACATAAGGAATATGTTTTGTTGTGATACACACAGAATAGAAAGGAAAACGCAGCTGATCACATGTATAGCCATGACACAAAACGGAATGCATTTTCCTTTGGGATCACATGGAGAAATTTGAATATTTTTATTATTGCTATGAAATCTTCCATTTAGTGGGGGGACATGGCATTTGCTATTGGATAGCCAATTATTAGCTACCTTAACTAGGATCCTTTTTAGGTCCTCCTATTCTCCAGAGGGATTTTGCTTCCATTGCAATTATTCCCAGCTTCTCCGAACTCTTCTTTGATGCTTTCTGCTCAGCCAGGAGGAAGATGAGCAGAGAAAGGTTATGCATGCGTCAATCCTTCAACAAAACTCTAAGACAACAGAAGCAGGCACCGAAAATAGCTGTGCAATTGAGAGCCAGTTGCCCCCCACCTAAATTGAACAAAGTCCAACACGTCAAATGTCTAGAATTTTCATTCCAATCACATTGTATCTGGGGTCTGGGGAGATGGCTTGGTCAGTGAAGTACCTGTCGTGCAAGCAGGAGGACCCGAGTTCGAATCCCTGGCACTCATTGAAAACATCTGGACATGGTAGCAGATGTCTGTAGCCCTGGCATTCTGAGGGAGGATAGGAGGGCAGAGGAAGAGAAAGAAATCTCCACAGAGTTTGCTTCTGGTCATCTAGTCAAGCCAATTGGCGCATTCCAGGGTAAAGACCCTATCTTAAAACATAAGGTGGAGGGGAAGACACAGCAGTTAACACACACATATGCATACAAAAGTAAGTTGATATTTAAAGTCTAAAAATAAACCAAATGTAGATTTGAATGGCTGAGGAAAGGTCTGGGTGCATAGGGCCTGAGGTTTGGGGTTTGCGGCAAGTTTTCAGTTTGCTAATCTGTCAAAAGGTAGGTACTGCTCATCCAAGGAAAGCACTAGCAATGCTAAGGTTTGAGTAGATTTGTTGGATTTCATTCTTTCCCTCTAGTGTAGCATCATAACAGAAACATGTTAGTGTCATGTAGAATTAGGAAAAAAAGACCCTAGAACCAGATAAGAGAGGAGAGGGAGAGACAGAGACAGAGAGAGGGAGGAGAAAGGAGAGAAGAGGGAGAAGGGAAAGGAGAGGGGGGAGGCAGAGGAGACACACACATATACACACACATGCACACATGAGAGAGAAACAGACAGAGAGACAGAGACAGACAGAGGGAGAGAGAAACTGTGCAGGCCTGACTGGCCTAGAACTCACTGTGTAGAATGGACAGGCCTCCAACTCCTGATGATCCTTCTCTCTTTGCCTCCAAGTGTTAGGATGATAGGTGCAGGCCCCCATAAGCCAAGCACACACTAGTTAGGTCAAGGAAGTAAGATACGAAACATATAATTAAAATGAGATAGCCAATCGGCATTGAATGACTAATCATACACTCTTAAAAGTCCCAGCTATTAATGGCATCACTTTCAATAATTCAATTCCATTTATAAATACTTTGATTTAATTTAATTTAATATATATATATAACTTTTATTGGGGGCAGGTGCCAATCTACTTAGTACACGTGAAATGCAAGGCTTTCTTTTGATAAAAGTAAAATGGATGAAAAGTAAAAGTTTGCTCTTTCTCCTTGAGCAATGACAGAGCAGCTCTGATGTGTAACGTTGGGCAGAACTAAGGCCGGGCTAGGTAGCTGACGGTCCACTGTTATTGGGGAAATCTCCCTTTGAGTCTTAAAGACACTTTGTCCAATTATACGAAACATCTGAGCCGGCTGAGCTTTTGGGAAGATGCCCTTTGACTTTCTGAAGATTTGTTTGAATAAGACACAAATTTACTATTTTCTGATCGATACAGTGTAGAATACATTCTGAATGGTGCTCACACTGTAGTCTATGAAAGTTCAAGAAAGATTTTTTTTAATTAAAACTCCCTCCCTAAACAACAGTGCAAGTACTATTTCTGGGGTCACATCTCTCAGCACCTGCCCCACCCTCAGAGAAAGATTGATCATCAGGCATGTCCACCTGCTAGCCATACCAGCGGCAAGTGCCTCCCATATACCTCTCTCTCTCTCTCTCTCTCTCTCTCTCTCTCTCTCTCTCTCTCTCTCTCTCTTGTTTCCTCGCTCTCTCCACTTCTACGTCAACCTCGTCAAGCCAGAGGCTCTCATTAACTATGAACCCATTTTGCCTTCAGGAAAAGTAAGGTGGATAAAAAAATAATGAATAAAGCTGTGTATCGTTTCACTTTCTATCCCAATGCTGCTTTTACATCACAAGCCCAGCTTGTAACCAGTGTTAGCTATGGAGATGCTAGGAAGAGGAAATTTTCATCTCAGACCTACAAAGATGCATCTGAGGTAAAATCCCAGACATTGTCTTCACAAGTTCTGGGCCAGAGCGGTCCCGGGTCAAGTTATTAATGTTATATTTTTATTCCTGCATTGAATCAAGAGACTAAGATGGATTTATTTGTGTAGTGTCTGTGTGGGATAATGTGTCTGTGTCTCGCTTTGGGTAAACGTCCTTTTGTATATGAGTTCATAGAAAAGATGACATCAGCTTATAGAGATAACTCCAGGAAGCGGAGGGAAAATATTTGAAATGTTCAAAAAAAAAAAAAAAAACTAAGAGTATAAATCCAGTCTCTGAAACCAGGATCTTTTCCTGGTGCGAATGAACTCATCGGCCAGTATCCTGGTGAAAAATCAGGTTTTCCCCCAAAGGATCTTGAAGTAAAAAATGAAAGCAAAAAAAAATTATAAAGAGAGTTACACAGGCTTGTTGGTTCTTTTCAAGAGGGTAAAAGCTTTAATCAACTTTGAGTTTTAAAATTTTTACACATGTGTGCGCGTGCACACACACACACATGCAAACTCATGCACTTTCCCATAAGAAAGTGGCATTTTGCCCAACTTTCCCCTTTTTGTGTCCCTTCTGAATCCTCACCTTTAAAACTCAATGTTTCTGTAAACGCTCTGGGCTGAGGGAGGGATGCTTTCTCACAGACAGAGATAAACATCTGGGTTAGGCAGTGTCACTGCGAACCACTCCAGTGTTATTTTTACAAGTGATGTGTTTATTTTTGTCATCAGTTCGAGATTTGGTCCTTGAGCCCCAGCTGAGAATTCTGAGCACTTCCTCCGTTTCCAAGAAATGGAGAACACCTGGCAAAAGATTCCCTCAACAGAAAGAAAAAACAAAGAAAACAAACAAACAAACAAAAAGCCCCCCAAAACTAAACTCTCACCCCAAAACACATGATGGCTGAGAACCATGGCTCCCATTCTAGTCTGAAAACAAACGAACAATTAGCAATCAAATAGAATATTTCTGTCTGATCCTCCTTCACCTCCAATCTTTGGTTTAAAACCAGCAGATAAAGAAATAAACATTCCCAAAAAGCACCCCGCAAGCCATTAAGATCTCCAAAGTAAATAAAAAGTGGTACTGCCAAGCATGAATTGCAGCCTCAGAAATTCCAGGGAGAACCCTGATTTTAGCACCATTGGACCAAATTTGTCATTTAGGGAAGCTCTTGTTCCCTTTATTGAGTTTCACTGTAGCGAACAATTTTTGCCTGCATCCCTCGTGTGTCCTTCCGGATTATTATCTTTCGCTGTGAATTGAGCCTCCACAATCAGTTTCAGCAGAAGCCTAATTTCACTCACTGCTTATACATATGAGGAGACATCTCCCCCCCCCCTCCATCCCTGCCTTCCCCTCTCGCGATGTTCTTATCAAATGAAGAATTGTGGATAAGGGTTAGGTGCAGATAAACATGAGTGTAGCACTTCCAGAAAGGTCGTGACCCCCCCATAAGGTGCTTCTTGTTATGCCTGACCTTCAGATTTTCATCATCAGCCCGCCTGACAACTTAATAATGCAGAGGAGCAGGATTCATTTCGCCCCTCTGAGAAAGCCGGCACGGGACGCCCTTTTCCCTGATTATTTCCCTGCACTCCAGGCTGCCCTTTATAAGCCAAGCAGAACTCCATCAATCATGCGCCTCTCTTCCCTCGCCTCCTCAGCCCCCAGCTCCAAAGGCTCCAAAGCTGTCCTGGTCCTTTTGTCTGGGGTTGGAATGTATATACAGAGATCCCACACATACACACCACGGGGGTGAAAAGCACCTTTAGCAAACACCGGCTCCCTTTCCTTCCGCTCTGCTTCTTCATGGAGCCGGTATATACCTTCCTTTGGCTCTTCTCTTTTCTTCCCGCCCTCCTTGCTCGCTTCCCTTCCCTCCCCTCCTTCCTTTTAAGCTCTCTTCCTCCCTCCCTTCCTTCCTCTTATCCTTCCACACATTTCCTCTCCGTGTTCACAAGTGCTTCCGGGAGCCCTCTTCCTCTCTCTATGTCATGACACGTACCCTCTCCCTTGATGAGCTCCGAGGAGTGAGGAAAGCTCGGGTTTAAATAGCCTAGACACACGTTAGACTTTCTCTAGCTTTTGGTAGTGTTCTCTCTTGACTGTCGATATTGTTATCATTAGTGGATTTAACGTTCTGGAAGTAGGAAAGGCTACAAATGTGTATTACATCTTTACCTGCAGGGTTTTTTCTTTCTTTCTTCCTTGTGTGTAAGGTAAAGACAAAAAAAAAAAAAAAAAAAAAAAAGCGACAGTAAGGTCGATGCGTCTGAATGGAGAAGACAGGCGGAGGCTTGGCGGTGTTGTGAGGCACATTCCTTTTCTTGGTGAGAGTACAAACAACGTGCAGAGGTTTGCTGTGCAGAGTACCTGTGCTCACCGAAGATGATTTTAAAAGTCGCAGTCAGGATCTAATAACCATATACAAACTTACCCTGTAAAATGCGCCTCACCATTGAGTTTTTCTTCTGGCTGCTGGGACAGCACAGGCAGATCCTGGCAGTGGAGCCAAGTGTGCCTGCTGCCAGGAGGGGCCATGGCCTGTGGCAGCTGCTTTGTCCTCTGGAAGAGGGACAGCAGCTCCCCTAGTCCTGTAGATCAGCTGGGTGAAGGCATGTCAGCCCAGCCAGGCAGTGGACGCCTGTCACTTGGGAAGGCCAGAAGGAGGGCATTGCAGAGTTGGATTAAAGGCAAAGGGTTAGCCCAGCTCCTAGAGCTCTGTGCTGGACTGTAAGGAAAAACAATTTTTAAGAGAGAAAAAGGAAGAGGATGTGCCATGAAAAATACCACACAATCTCCTGGGGGTCAAATGTCTTCTTAAAAAAATAATAAAAGGAATCTTAAATCATCTTCGACAATAGTCAAAAGCGGAGAAGTAAATACTGAGTGTGCACCACACGTCACACCTCTGATTGAAGGTACATGTCTATTCTTAATGTCCCAGCCAAATTCAAAGCTTTTTTGTGAAAAGAAGGGAGACATTACTCATAGTTTCTCCCGTTTTGTGAGTGATAGGCAGCCACCAGTAGAGTTCTCTAAACACAAAAACTTGATGAAAATCACAATGCCCACAGCCTGCTATAAATTGCAAAAATAAACCAAATAAATAGGGAGAACAAAATGAAGGTTTCTGGTCTACTATCATAGTTTAAACACTAATTTCCAGAAATAAATTGAATTAGTTTTAACTAACACATCTCAAAAAATTGAAAGTATGTACAATTCCTGATGCTATATTATTTATTCATAGTTCCAATTTTTGCTTTGAGATTTATTTTTAACTTTATGTATATGTGTTTATCTCTATGTGGCTATGTGGACACATGGATATAGAGCCAAAGAATGCAAAGGAGAAGTCAGATCCCCTGGGGCTAGAGCTAAGTGGCCCATATGAATGCTAGGAACCAAAGTTGGGTCTCCTGGAAGAGCAGGGAGCACTCCTAAGTGCTGAACCATTTCTTCAGGCTCGGATGGTAATGCTTTTGAAAATAAAGATGTAGAAACTAGAGAGATGGATCAATGGTTAAGAGCACTGCTACTCTTCCAGAGGTCCTGGGTTCAATTCCCAGCACTCTCATAGTAGTTGACAATCGTATGTAATGCCATTTCTACAAGATCTGAGACTCTCTTCTTGCCTCCACAGGTACTAACCATGTGCAAGGCACACAGACATACACATGGGCAAACATCCATACACATAAAAATAAAGTAAAATGTATATATATAATATTTCAAAACAATAAAAAGATAAAGAAATCATTGTAATTGCAGCACAGATCACTCCAGAAACCTCCAAAATACCACTAGCAAAACATCTTTATTTGCAGACCCTGAAGACTTGGATTTGTTACATGAATAGATATGAGTTTGGAGAACACCTGTTGAAGTTCCCAGACTGTATTGTCCTGGGATAAAGATTGTACGGGAACATGCACTTAGAAATCGAGACAGTTTATTAATAATGGAAAAGGACTTCTGAGATGGCAGTGTGCTGTTTAGCTGGGGAAGGGCATGCCTAAGTCCCTGGGTCACAAAACTCATGAGCCCTTTAGGTCAGTGCCATGGCACTCGACTCCCCTGCGCTTGTCTACCCTGAGCTTTTCTCACGCATGCTCTGTTACCAGTACCCCAGGTGGCCAAGGATTTCCAGTCTGTGTTGTCAACTGGCTTCTTTCATGTGTCAACCCTGGTGCTGTGGTCTCCTACTCTGTCACAGGGTGATCATCAATGGGACTGCAGGAATAATTCCTATGCTAAGAAAGACAGCCCAGGTCAGGAGATGTCACAAAGGAAAATGTAATGGAAGCCAAGGAATTGTGACAGCTCTTGGGTTTGATGCCTGCCAGGAAGCCAGATGAAGGCACCTATGGGTAGACCGGTATATATATTTACTTTCAGAGGGCAGGCCAAAACTAAACATAGTCATTTAAACTACGCATGAATAACAGTATGGAGTGAGAAGGTACTTTGAACTGAAACTCTAAACAACGTTGGAGTTAAAGGACTTATGGAGGAGAGGGAGTTGTCTTTGAGGCAAAGATTTATCAAATGGAATTGACTAAATGTTCATTTGCTTTCTTTATACATTGTCTAGATCACCCCAATATTTGTTTCTTTAGGGCAAGGACTCTGGAATCTAGAACACTAAGTCCTATGGTTAATCTTGTCAACTTGAACAGATTTAGAATGGCCAGGGAAACAGACCTCCTGGTGTCTGTAAGAGTCTTTCTAAAGGGGTTTCACTATCACAGTAAGACCTTCCCCAAATAAGGACAGCTGAGACACCAGGGGCTGGGGGCTCAGTTGAATAAAATATGGTTAAAGAAACAGCACAAATGGGCATCTCTCGGCTTCCAGTGGACACAACCTGACCAGTGGCTTCACACCTACCACATCACAACTTCTCCACTATGGTAGATTGTACTCTCCCTCACCAAATCTCAGTGCCTGGCATGGAATACATTCTTAACAGTTGTTGGTCAGGGAGGCCACACTGAGGCACCCCAAACAACACAAGCTATTGCTATTGCTCTTGGTTTGCCACCATAACTTGATGCTAAGATCCGATTTGGGGGGACACCACTCACTTTGCATTTGGGAGATGAAAAACTCAACCTCAAGCCGAGTGGGAAATGCTCCTTGGTTTGCAAGTAGGTGCTCTTCAGACGGCTGGGAAAGATGAGCTGTCAATGGCTTCATGCATTTCTGAACCTGGCATGCTAGAATACCAGCCTGCTTGGCACAATGTAGCCAGTAATAGAATACCGACATGAGAGATATGGGGGTAACCCACTACTTTCCCTTTGGGTACGAGGCCTGCTCCACAGGAGGGTACTGTGAATCTGATCGAAAGTCCTGGTTGAAGGAAGGGGAGTTTACTGCTGTTGTTTTGATAAATATACTTGTTATCAAACTATCAAACTACATTCTAAATATTTGTGGTTTGGGCTATATTTTGGGCTACTCTCCACTCTGGTTAGAGAAGCACCTTACTGTGTTCTTGTGAACACAGGATACTAACACCAAAAAGATTTTTTTAATAGGCAAAGATAATCTTTTGTTGTATCTTAGTTTGTCTTTTTAATTATTGAAGAGACTAGTTTCATGTGTT